TTGCTGGAAGGGGATGTAAATTGAAACAGGAAACTAGTTAGAATCCTGCTGCAGTCACTCTGATGGGTTGAAAAGAGCAGAAAAAGAGACTGGGGGGCATTTGAGAGAAAAATTTTTAGAGTACAACCAAAGGGATCTAGTGACCAAATGAATATTAAAGCTTAAGAAGAAGGAAGAATCTGGGATGATTTCCAAAATTCTAGTGCACTTGAGAAAACATAACACTTAACATATCTTTTAAAAAGACAAGAAGCATAGGCTGAAATAGGATTAGGCATTCAAGAGATTTTAGGTGGCAGGGAGCAAAGGAAGGTGAATAGAGTATTCAGACAGCAATGTAGGTCTGACACCTATAAAAAGGGAGGGAGAAGGAAGAATTGGATAGGAAGAGCCCTAGACTGCAACACAGTTCCAAAAAAGGTTCACCCAAGCTGATGGAGAGTCCTTGGGCCAAAACTGCCTGTTGGAAGAGTCTCATGTCTCAGTAGAACAGACCTACCTTAGTACTCCACAGTCTCCATCACTGGCTGACAGCAACCTGCAGGAAGTGTGGATCTCAGCAAAAGATCACCTGTGCCAGAACCCTCTGGTGATAAGAGGATTGCTTTATCATATCTGAAGCATCTGTTTCAATCATGTAGACATGGAATACTCATTTCTGTGTCTTTATTACCCACTAGATGCAATGTTGTTGAGAATAAGAACTGATCTAGTACAGTGTTTGGTGCAGAGAGAGTGTTAAATAAATGTCTGTGGTATGAATGAACGAAGTAGATCAGGATAATCCAGAATCAAAATGGAGTAAGGAATTTATTTATTCCTGAAATATCACAGCAGCGTCTGACAGGTAGCCAGAACCCATCCCTTTCTCAAAGAGATCTGCCAGCTGAGCAGTAAGGTACAAACCTGAGCAACCAAGAAAGCTTCAGCAATCATCCCTCTCTGTGGCTGTGAGTGCCCTATTTGGCAACAGACAGATACCCAGGCTAGACGGAACATGTCAAGAAAGTCTACTCATGAACATCTGATAATATATTTTTCAGGGTTAACCTGGAAATATCGCTCTGGTCATTGGGCGAGCTCCACCAAGTTACAAGGACAATTTAATTATAGTGTGGGCAACAAAATTCACTCACTCTGCAAACTAAGATATGTCGAGAAAAAATAATGTTCCTAATTTTGTCTAAAAGTATTAGAGTTTTTCTCCTGAGTCTCCACCTGTGGTTGAGGGAAGAGTTTAATCCAATGGGATAATGCAAAGAATAGCTTCAGAAAAATGTTCATCTTCTACAGATTTAAAAATAAAAACCTCTGAGACATCCTCCCCATGCCATGCTTCTCTCCTGCCAGCATTCAAGGCTGAGTCTGTGCCTGCGCTTTGCTCCTACTGACTGCACACAGGGAGCTTTCAGCCAGTCCTCAAAGAGGAGGAAAACCAGGACTCTCACCTACCCTACCTGCAATCCCTTTTTTTTCTCCCTCTTCTCCTTTCCACCATCCCCTGGGGGCTGAAAATAGGCTTTCCCTTATATCATGTCCCCTTATACCACCAGCAACAATAAACTTCATGGATTCAGTGTCATAAGAGTAGGACTCCAAGAGGTACATACTTCCAGCTCAACCCTTGATAGGTTACTAATAGCTAATATTTGTTATGCATTTACTATGCTTTAGTTGCTAAAACACTTTCTACATTTAATCCTCACACCAATCCCATGAAGGATGCCTATTTTATAGCAAAGGAAACTGTGAAGTCCAAGGAGGTTTAGTAACTTGCCAAAGATCATGCATCTAACAAGTGGTGGGGTCAGGATTTGAACCCAAATGTGTGATTCCAGAACTAACATTCTTAGCCACTACATTATACATTTTTCTAGTCCAGCAAAACGTAGAAATACCAGAAAATAATATACAAGCAGCAGCAGCACTTGTTGGAGTTTATAAGGTCACTTTTGCTTTCTTAAAACAGAACTTCTCACAGATTATGAACAAATAACATTGACCTTCCTTTCCACTTATCCCAAATCAAGAAAATCACAAACACAACTTGCAGATCCTCTAGATAGCCCTGTTCGTCAACAGCTGGGAAATATCAGGGATATTGTATTGGTATAAGGTAAAGAGCATTGGTAAGCTCTGAAACTGTTTAAGAAATGTTGGAATGTAATTTGGGGGCGGAGGTTTGGTTTTGTTTGTTTGTTTTCCATTCATAATCCTCCTGGGACCAAACGATGGTTCAATCTCATTAACTGTGAGGAGCTATGAACTTGGCCTAAGAGGTCAGAGAGTATCAAAAACGAGTAGTTCCACGAGCACGAGACATGGAACATAGGGGGCCCTGGTGGAAACTTGGAAGGTTTCAGGAGGTACTGTCATAAGTTGCTGTTGATTCCTGTGCTAAAGCCCCACGCAATACACCGAAGAACAGATGCACTTGGCACAGACACGGCTTAGGAACAAGCTCCAGCATGTAACTGGACTCCAAATGCGGGGACAATTCTCATTCCCATACTTTGACCCTGGTCACAGTGTGGGAACCAAGCCATGCTCTGGTCCTTTGTGCGTGAAACAACTAGATTTAAGAGTCTTAAAGGATTTAGCAACTAAAGTTAATTTATTGAAAGCAAAACCAAACAAACAAAATGGCCGCTTCCAGGGTTTCTCAGAAATGGGAGTGAGGCATTGGGTAGTTCTTCCCCATGGCCTGGGACTTGGTGAGGAGCTGGCAAATTAAGTATTTTCCCTGATAGATTCAGAAGACCATATCCTCCCCAAAACAGCTACACTTCCCTTCAGTGTGCCTCCGGCAGCAAGACTCCTTTCCTCGGCAACCCACCCACTACTCAGACCCATATCCCCACTCCCACCCCAGACCTGGATTAAGGGAAGTCCACATATTGATGAAGTTGCATAACAAAGTCTGAGCTTTTCCATGTGTCACCTCCAAATTTCTCTGAAAGCGGAAACAGGAGAGGGGTTGGGAATGCCACACCTATGAATCTGATTTCATTCACTCCCAGGGAAGGAAACTCTGCACTCAGCCAATTGGACTACCACAACAGGCTCCTTTATCAGGAAATTCTACACTTTCCATCCATATTCCAGGCTCCAGTGGAATGAACAGTAGTGGTAACTTGAGCAAGTTTACTGCACCACATCTGAATCTGCTAGATCAGGGTAGGATTTAATGGAGCCTCAGGAGAAATTTCTCAGTCAGAGGAGGAGTCCTTCAGAATTTAGCCAAAGGCACCAGGAAACAAACAACAACCAAGCCAAAATCTCTAGTAAAATGTTATGTTCAATTAAAGGAGAAGAAAATCCCCACACCCAAAGCAGAAGGCAGAATCAGGAACTCAGGTAAGGGCTAAAGAACCAGAAAGTCAGGGCTAGGTAGAGAAGCTGTCAAAGTGACAGGAAGTAGGAACGAGTGTTCAGAGTGGGTGAGGATGAATCCCAGAGCAGGCTTTAGGGTGAACAAAGCAGACACCAACTGAGACAGCATGGTTATTCCACCGTTAAACTTCCCTGTGCTGAAAAGCAGCAGATATTTTTATTAATTACAGAAGTACTCGTTTCAGAATCCTTCTTTTTTAGTGAATTACGAATGAATATTAAATCATTCTTATAAGTTTCAACAGATACCTTTTTGAAAGAGAATTTTAAGTTATGTCAGGATTAGGAATTCTCCTAGCAGCCCCGAGAGGTATGTATCAATTTGAAAGCAAACAATACAGACCAAAAGACATTTTGAAAATGTCTATAATTTTGAAAATGAATATATAAATCAGAACAACCCGAGAATTCATTTTTGGTTACATATGACAAAATGCCAAGTAATGTGGTGATCTTTCATGCTATGTCAGAATGTAACCCCTTCATAAAATAATAACAATAATAATAATAGCAGTATTTATTGATTATTTACTCCATGTGGGACTCTAAGCAGTTTTCATGTGTTAACTCACTCATTCCTTCCCACAACCTATCAAGAAAATACTGTTACTATTCCCATTTTACAAATGAGGAAAGTGAAATAGAGAGAGGTTAAGAAACTTCCCCAAGGTCACCCAGTTTGTAAGGGCGGGGTCAGGATTTGAACATAGGCCGTCTGGTACACATTCTTAGCCCCAAAACTTTATACCTGAGGGCCCCATTAGTGATAGAAATCCAGATTCAGAATTGCCATGTGTCCTAAATATGTTTACAAGTTTGAGATCTCAAGCAACAATATTCTCATTGACTTGTCAGCACTGTTCAGTGACAGGAAGGAAATCAATACCTACATAATTTTATTAAAATAAAAGTGATTATACTTACAAAAACTGCTTATATATTTTTTTTATAAAACTCTGAAATTTTAAAAGCAGATATGCATCTTGGTTAATTAAACAAACCAAAAAACTGTTGGGATTTTTGCCCAGTCTAAAAACTTAAAAATGACTTGAAAATCTACTTTAGCAAAATGATAAAGGAATGCAAAGGATGACTGAAATTGAAGTAAAATGACTTAACCACCAGACTGGATTAGAACCTAGTATCCAAGGGTCTTGATTTTCATTCCACTGCTTGTCATTACACAGTGGATTTGTGGAAACTGGTCTCTTGTGGGAATTGCTGTTACCACACAATTCATGGTCTGTTACGCTAACAGCTTCACCTACTGCATGCTGACACAATACACTGAGCTGAAATGATGGCACACATTGTCTCATGAATCTCTAAAACCCCATGAGGTCAGTATCACAGTCCGCATTTTTAAAAGGGGGAAGAGAGGTAATTAAAGTAACTCACCTAAGGCCAAAAAGTCTTGGAAAATGGACAGAACCAGAATTCAAATCCAAGTCTGTGGGACTGCAATGCTTTTACTCTCTCCCCTGTAGATCACTACATTGCTATCAGTATAAACTTTAAGTTAAAGTTAATAATCAGCTCATTATGTTGAGCTGATAGTTATTAAAATACAACTCCATGTCTACACAGTGAGTGTTTTACCACACTGACACTTTCCAAAGACTATTTCACCCTCTCCAAAACAACCATACAAGGAGAGGCCATGAGAAGTGTCCCAAGTGGGACAGAATGAAGCAGTAGTGTCTCTCCTACTGATGTGACAGAAGTGGTGCCAAGGGAGGGTAAGGAAGAGCCCTGTAATCCTGAGCCAGGTCTAAGGACTCCTAGGCTCCCTCCTGTGCCCGCAGATGCTCTATGGAAAAACGGGTTCCTTGGATCCAGGCTTCAGATGACCAGGCTCACACCAAAGCGTCTCCATGAACATCTGCTTCAGCTTATTATTTCCCAGAATGAGAATATATGAGCGGCCAGCAGGATATAACATTGTTAATTACTTCTCCAGTCATCATAATCACCTCAGTTGCTGGTAGAAATAACTGGATGTCAAAATTGAAAAGAAAAGAAAGTAAAGTAGGAAGAGAAAGAGGAAGGAAAGGATGATTTTGATGGCCCTCTTTTGGGCCTCAGTACTTGGATATCTGGAGCCGGTAAAGTTTTGCTGCATCTGCCGCATATGCCTCCCCAGGGAGAGGATGAGCAGAAAGTAGGAAGCTAGAGATACAATTAAGGGAGGGAGGTCCCACAGAGTCCCAAGAAAATGGATCAGCTTATATTCATTTCTTTTCTTTCTAAAGGGTTCAGTCACATTCCCTGTTCCATCAATTCCACTGAGAACAGACCAGATCTTAAATTCATGGATCAGAGAGACGGCACTGCTACATGATAAGAGCAGGGTACCAACAGCATCCATACAACCAACCTGGAAACTCTCCACTTGAGCCAGAGGAACGTAGGATGGGAGAAACTGGCGACTTTCAGGCATTAGAAGACACTGAGACAGGTGGCAAGCCAAATGCTCAGATGGTTTGTAAATGTCCAGAAAATATCACTAGTCTGCATGATTGCAAATTATTCATCGTGGAGTTTGGAAGAGAACACCATCAATCAAGAGAATCCACTGCAGAGGGCTTCCCTGGTGGCACAGTGGTTGAGAGTCCACCTGCCGATGCAGGGGACACGGGTTCGTGCCGCAGTCCGGGAAGATCCCACATGCCGCGGAGCGGCTGGGCCCGTGAGCCATGGCCGCTGAGCCTGTGCGTCCGGAGCCTGTGCTCCGCAACGGGAGAGGCCACAACAGTGAGAGGCCCGCGTACCGCAAAAAAAAAAAAAGAGAATCCACAGCAGAACAATCCTGGAGAGACCCCGGTTAGTGATGATGAAGTCAGACCAAGAGGTTCTCTTGTTCTTGAACCAGCTGCTACCATTGACCAACCCATGAAACTATTCCCCGGCATTCCCAGAATGAACTGAGTGGCAGTCAGAACCAGAAACCCGCACTCGGTGAGTCCCAGCATGTCAGCTATTAGGCATACCTGATCTTCCTTCTTTCTGTGGATGAACACTCTCTTGCTAACTTGAAATCTGTTAATCACCTCTACCTGCTGCTTCTCTGTACCTGTCTCTTGTCTCTGCCCAATTTAGTCTGTTGTGGAGCACAATTTAGCAAACCCTCTCTGCTCTTTCAGGTCCTCTTCAGAGACAACATGGACTGTCATATTCCATCTATGATCTAAACTCAGAAGCTCTTTGCCAAAATGCAAATAGAGTAGTGTCCAGTGTCACAAAGAGAAAGAAGAGATCTGAGTCACAAAGAAGATGCAGGATTTGGACTCAGTTTCAAAGGCAGAAGGGTTCTGAGCCACCCAGAATGGAAAGGTGTGTCACCAGAAGGGTCGCACAGAATCACTCAGAAGAGTGAGAAGTCTTACTCTTCAGGAGGGAGGACTCAGGGACATATACAAAAGGGCGATATATCAGAATTCCACTATAAGGCACTATTACAGTCACCCTGGAGGGAGGTTTACATTCATAAAATAGAAAAGGTTCAGTGTCAATGGTCCTGGATTAGAATTAAAAAGTGTGCCTCTTAGAGTATGCCTTACATGAAGGGGCTACAAGCTCTTCCCTAGTGAGCCATAGCATCGGAAATTCTTAACTACCTGAATATTTAATGATAACAATAATGAAGTATCATATGAGCTACTCAAAGTATGGATTTTTTCAGAGGGATGACCACTGTATTGATATGTCAGTAATAGTTCAGGCTGACAGAAAACACACACAGACACTCTGTCAACCAAAACACTGCCTTACAGATTTTGACTATAACCAATAGTAATGCTGTTTATATTGTCTTACATATATATAAAACATATACATGTATGTATATATATACATGTCACAATCTAAATATTGGATTGGCCAAAAAGTTCGTTCGGGTTTTTCATAAGATGTCATGAAAAACCCAAACGAAATTTTTGGCCAACCCAATATATGTATATAATACTGGAACACAAAGGTTTCACAAAACCATATTTCCCTTTCTACATGTGTGGCATTCTGACATTTTCTATCCTATTCTATTTCTTTCAATGCTGCTTGTACATCACAAACTTGATTTTACAACCTACCAACGAGTTGTTACAAATACTGTTTGAAAACACTGATCTGAAGGGTAAAGAAAGAAATCCATGCCATCAAGATACAAAACAGAGAGTTCAGCAACACTATCTAGTAACAGACTGAGGGATACTGCCAAGGAGCCACTCACCCGAGCTAGTGAACCTCATCAGTCTTGGCATTATGTGGTGTACGCTACGGTTACAGAGTATTGTAGAGACACTCAGGCATAAACACAGTCCTCCTTAATTACCCTCAGCTTTCTCAGGCTAACTTGACAACCTGGTCCAAATGCTTCCTTAACTCTATGCTACAGAATTAGAATAAGGCCAGTTCCCAGCTGTCCCTGGGAGTCTTGTAACAGAACCTTAGACCAGTTGTAGGGCTGATCCTGCAACCTACGACCGACCCTGTTCAGTTTTTTTCTCAGGGCCTCAGATCTATAGATTCAGATTTTTGTCATTATAACACCTTTTACTTCCCCTCATAAGAAGAAATACACTAATAAGATTCCTCTACCCATGTATTAGAATTATCCATGATGAAAAAGTTTAGAATATACAACATATCAGAATGCATTTCACTTACCATTTCACTTCAATCATACTTTTTTACTACCCCTATTATTTTTACCCCTTCCAAAATTAGAACTTGTACCTTTCTTAAGTTGCTATTGAGCAATTTAGGGTTAACTGTCATTTTTCTTTCTCATGTTTTGATTCTCTCCCAGGACAGTGTGTTTCCATGTACACCACATTAGCTAGTGACCAGAGTTCAATTTCCCAAATGACTTTTGTTGAATATCATCATTATCACTGCTATTATTCCATCAGGTACCAGTGATATGAATTATGAGCCCATAGTTATGACCATTCTCATCTCTTAACATAAATACTAAAACCATCATACTATAACCAGTACCATAGCATTAGTAATGGCTGATTCCAAAATGTATGTTGGCCATGGTCAACCAAACAACCACATATACGCCAAGTCCAATTCTATTAAGCCTGCAGTTTGTTGGAGGGATCAAGACTAGAGCTATGATATTGTGGCATCCCAGGCTGCAGACATCTAGAAAAACTACTTAGAGATCATGAACCTGCTTTCCTTCATTCTTTTTTTTTTAACATCTTTATTGGAGTATAATTGCTTTACAATGGTGTGTTAGTTTCTGCTTTATAACAAAGTGAATCAGCTATACATATACATATATCCCCATATCTCCTCCCTCTTGCATCTCCCTCCCACCCTCCCTATCCCACCCCTCTAGGTGGTCACAAAGCACGGAGCTGATCTCCCTGTGCTATGTGGCTGCTTCCCACTAGCTATCTATTTTACATTTAGTAGTGTATATATGTCCATGAGTAAAAGACCAAAGTAAGTATATAAGTGAAGGCCTTGGCAGAAAATAATTTGCATAAACTGGGTAATTCTAGAAGAGTTTTAAAAAGGGATTATTTACAAAATGATGGACAGAGTACAGGGAAGCCATAAACAGATAGTGCAGTACCTCAGGGCTAGGAAAAGTGGGGCACCATACCATGATACCACTGAGAGAGAGAGAGAGAGAGAGAGAGAGAGAGAGAGAGAGAGAGAGAGAGAGAGAGA